GCAGTGGTTCTCAACCTTCCTAATGCCACGACCCTTTAATACAGTTCCTCATGTTGTGGTGACCCCCAATTTCATTGTTACAAATTGAACATAATTAAAGCATAGTGATTAATCATAAAAACAATATGTAATTATATATGTGTTTTCCGATGGTCTTAGGCGACCCTTGTGAAAGGGTCGTTCAACCCCCAAAGGGGTCGTGACCCACAGGTTGAGAACTGCTGCCTTAGGGGATGTCGGATTGCTGGTTTCAGCCCAATCCCTACAGGCCAGGCTGAGGGACCCCACCTGCTGGAGGGACCCTGCTCACTTGGCAGATGCCCTGCAAGCCCCGGCGCCACCCCAGGTGTGGCCGGACAGGGAGGGACCATGGGAGGTTGGCTCCAGGGCATGTCTGGCCCCTTTCACCCAGTCCCGCCCCGCTGGCCACCTTCTAATTAATTTTCTTTCCATGTGCACGAATCTGTGCACCAGGCCTCTAGTGTATCATATATCTTGCACTGGAATTTTGTACACATGTGCACCTTCCCATTTCCCTTTCTATATCCTAATGTTTTATTTTCATTTTGAGAATGACCACTTTGGATAAATTGTAGAAATATTTATCAGTACTGCTTTTATTAATCTGCCACTGTATTTGTTCTTCTCTAAAAAGGCTAATTACAGAAGGGATGATGCATGAAATAAATTTCTCATTTCTTCTTAAACTGTATTTCTCATCTTTCTTCTTTTTGGTAGGTGTTCCTAAAGGAACAGGAACGACAGCACCTACAAGATCTGCTTCACCAAGAGGTGCTCCGCAGAATAATATTGTTACAACGATGGTTTAGGGTCTTGCTGTGCAGGCAGCATTTTCTCCATCTGAGACAGGCATCAGTTATCATTCAGGTGGGAGACAAAAGATTTCTTGCATGAGATTAGCTAGTTTATTTGGCCTTTGTTTTAGTAACCAGAATTATTTTACTATGAAACATATAAATAAGAATATAAACTTCTTCAGAGGTGAGAATGTGTTCTACACATTTTTGAAATGTTGATAGCACCAAAAAGATTACTTGCCATATAATAACAGACTATTAATAAATATTGATGGAGTTTAATTTAAATTAAATTGAATTTATAGTTATAATGGCTTGTGAGGTATGATCGGGGCAAAGGAATTATGTGCCTTAATTTTTGTTACATAGTTATTCTATATAATAAGAGAGGGGTATGCTAATTAGCTGCGACCGGATATGCTAATTAGTCATGACCAGTATGCAGATTGACCATCACTCCCAACACACAAGATGGCCGCCCCCATGTGGCCACAAGATGGCCTGCAGAGGAGGGCAGTTGGGGGCGATCAGGCCAGCAGGGGAGGGCAGTTGGGGGTGACCAGGCCGGCAGGGGAGGGCAGCTGGGGGC